TGGGCCGGCAGTCATATTTTTCCTGTCAGTCCTATCGGACAATTACGGGAAATTAAGGTCTCCATCGGGTGATACCGAATTAAAATAGCGGGAAAAAATAAAATCGAACAATTGGCATAATTGGGATCTAAAAAAAAAAAAAAAGAAGTTTTTTTGAAAAATTGAAAAAATGGGACGGCGGGTAATGCAAACCGAAAAATCAACTTTGCGCGGCCTAATATTGGCTTTTTTTTGATAAATATTTACAGGTGACTACGATTGGTCATTTATTTTGAAATAAATACTTAACTTATTTTATCTAAGTTCAGATATCTAATCATTAATCCTGAAACCAATTTGAACTTTTTGGACCAATTAACATTGAATCTGATGACTTGGGTTCGGTTGATAGATTTTTTTGTGCACTATTTTACGCTTAAATCTTTGCCTGCAGATTATAAGTTATAGAATTAGAACGGTGTAATAATAGCATAATATACATGTAGGTACGTACGTATAGTACTTTTGGAGAATAGATAATCCGAGTTTTATCAACAATTTTGCAAGTTACCATTGGGGTTTCAATTTATTGTACTTACACTATACCGCCGTAACAAATAAAAAATTATATCGGGTGATGGAAATTACATCATATTTGCTAAGATGATCTCAGAAAATCCGAATCCTTAACTTTGGGCATATCTGCATATGACGTGATTTTGAAAACGGAACGGATACATTGTATATAAAGTACATATGTTGTACATATGAGTGCTGCCAAGGGAATATATTTTGTGTACCGTCTATGGAAAATTTATCATTAATAAATTATTCATAGACGATTAACTGTACACAAAATATATTGAAAGTCCGATCGGCCTTTTTCCCTTGGCAGCACTCATATTTGGAACACCAGAAGGATTCCATACACACGTACATTCAGAATAAAAGCCCATAAAAATCTTATATAGAAATACACAGAAAATATATAGATTATACAGAAAATATATAGATTTATACAGAAAATATACAGAGAATTTATACCAGATTATTGCGATTTAAAACTTTGAGTTTTCGCCGAGTTTTTGCAATATTTTGATATATTCAATATATTTTTTGTATATTTCACATAAAAACTTTTTATAGGGAAGAATATTTGTTGTATTTATTTAGAATTAAGTTACATATATTAATGCATGATCATTTTTCATTTGCAATACTTACACATGCGTAAATAACTGGAATTACTCACCAATAATATAATCCGCTCAAATTAATATTCATATATGTAGTCTTAGATTGTTTTTCTTTAGGTACTTAAATTTGTTTTTTTTTGTATACACACATTACTCTAGATTGCTTAATGTTTTTAATCGGAGTTCCCCGGATTTTGTATGCAAAAGAATCCAGGGTACCTGATACGATATATACAGTATCAGCATCTTATCGTTCGTATGGCAAGGTACTAATAACAAATTATTTTTGATTAATTTGTCATAAGTAACTAGTAAATTTATTTCTTTGTTAAAAATTTACATGTGCTGATATGTTTACATTAATGTTAATTCTAGAAGACCATACGTCTTATTCAACAATCAAGGATATTTTAATTGTTAATGTGTATGTAATCCTGATAATTTTCTCACTCCTTATGCTATAAACTTTTACTGTGAAAGATGAAAATAATCCTTATCTGTTTGATAATTTTAACTTTTTATTCATAATAGTTCCGCTAGTGTCTGAAATTGGGTTGTAGAGTCGCAACAAACTTTTAAATTTTTTGCAACTAAATTGTGAATTCTGATGCGTGTTACGAATTCTGATATAGATTTGATTATATTTATGTACACGATTAAATATTTATAATCTGCATGTAAAAATCGAATCACAGATACTGACAGCTCATTTAACCGACATCACATCAAGTGATAATTTACGTACGTACTAAACTATAAACCTGCAAAAATAAATACCAACCCCATGCGATGTCGATTAAATGAGCTGTTAGTAAACAATTGTCTGTTGACAGTAAAGTAAGTAGCACCGTTCATATAATGCCGTAGTTACTGAAATATTTCTTAGTGTTAATGATTTCATACAGAATTGTTACAGGTATACAACAGTTATAGTCAGTGTTGTCATATAGGTATTTGGCCGGCCAGTGGCCAAATTTTTGAAAAATTTTTTTTGGCCGAAATGGCCAAAAGTTTATATAATAAAAACTAGCAATATGATTGGTTAATATTACAAAATTAAAAATTTTTGGCCAAAGTTTGGCCATTGGCCAATGGCCGTTGGCTGGTTGGCCAGTTGGCCGGCCCCAAAAAATTGTTTGGTCGCAAAAATTGACAACACTGGTTATAGTTGTTTAAGATAGGTAAGTACTGCACGTACATATGTACGTACGTGCATAAAGTTTAATATTCCGTATTCAGGTACATGTAACAAATATTTAATTTATATGATACATATATTCTCATATTACATAATGTACAATTTAAATTACATAATCATAGCAGATAGTGCTATACTGCACTAATTAATATGGTGCCATATCATTCATTATATTGTAACTAACTCCCAAGTACTGAAGTAACCCTGAAAATTATGCAGTGAATCTGATACTGCATGTGAAAAAATATTATTAATAAAGATAATTAATAAAATTTTTCGGAGAAAAAAAAAAAAGTTTAACATTAACACTATGTATTTTTGTATTTTGTCTAAATTTATGTTTGTTGTGTGTACAAAAATAACAAAAATACTAGCTTATTATTTTTTGTTTTTTAATTTTCTATCTTATCTAAAACGTAGTCATGTATAATTAATTTAATGGATAAATATATACCATAAAATTTCTACGTACTTTCATGAGTTAATTAAATAAATAAAAATTTGGTATAGATGTAATGAAGTCTGATAACATTAAAGACTCTACTTTTGCATCTGGCAACTCAAAGGAAAATAGAAAACCTTCTTTAACACCCATTAACGTTGATATTACAAAAAATACATTAGAAGATATAAATGAAGTTATTTCTCCTCTTTTAAGCAAATTTAAAACAATCAATGGAAGAGATTTCTTCGATATTGAAGACTTAAATTATGTATTACCATCTGATAAAGTAGAAGCTGAGAGAGCAAATATATCGCATATACTAAGTAAGCATCAATGGCAAGGCAATTTTCTCTCTCCAATTATTGAAAAATTGGAAAAAGGTCGTGCTAAAGTACTTGAAATTGGGTAAATATATTGCACTATATTCATATATATAAAGCGTACAAATTTATTATATTTTTATATATATATATTTAATTTCATATATGAAAATTTATTTTTTAAAATTTAAAAGATGTGGTCCAGGTTGTTGGATAACTGATATGGCACTAGAATATCCATCTTCAACATTTATAGGAATTGATGTTAATTCTTCTTTCTTTCCTAATACCGACAAATGTCCTTCAAATGTTTGTTTTCTTACTTGCAATGTAATTTATGGAATTCCATTTCCTAAGGAAACTTTTGATTTTGTTTATATGGGTATGATGTTCACTGCTTTTACCGAGTTTCAATGGTCTACCTTAATCAAAGATACTGTTAGGGTTTTAAAGTATGATGGTTGGATCGAGTCCTTAGAACCAACTTGCCAATTTCAAAATATGGGAAAGACCACAAAATGGATAGAAGATACTAGTGAGTATAGCGCTTTATAAATTCGTTAATGTATATATATATATATAATTGGGGTTTTTTTCTTTATTTTAGCGGCTAAAGCTTGCATGAAAGAAAAAGGTGTTAATGTTCGCATTAGTGCTATGATGCCAAAATTTTTTGAATCAAATAATGAGCTTACAAACATACAATGCGTTAAGGTAGAGTACCCAATAGGCGATTGGTATGGATGTTTCGGTAAATACGTAAGTACCGGTATATTGTTAGTAATTTACTTGATTTTTTTTTATTACACGTATACTATCTATTATAATTTCTTTTTTATATTTATAGTCGTTTAATAATCTTCGTAAAATGTTCCAAAGTTTGGTATTTGTTCCGAAATATATGGGTATAACCCATGATGAATATGTTAAGTTGTTAAACGACGAATTTATTAAGGAATCAAACGAAAATAAAACATATACGCATCTTCAGAGAAATTTTGCTAAAAAAACTTTGTATGATTAACATTGAATATTTTTTGATTATCATATACTGAATATAGAATTTTAGAATTATGTATGTATGTAGGTTAGAATATTAGACCTAGTCTTTTAGAATTATATATATGTGTTTAATAATAGACGTAAACTTTACAATTAACTTATGCATGTTTAAAATTTTTTATAAAAGACGTTATATGTATATTATATGTATATTATATGTAAAAGAAAGAAATAAGCATACGCATATCTCAGCAAATGCTACGATAATTTTGATCTAGTTTTTAGCGAATTAATTCATAAAATAGCTTTTTTTTGGATAAGATTGCTTAAATAATATAATTCAATTATTTAGTCCATAGGCTCATTAGTTTTACATTACTAGCAACTGTATGTGCTTCGTGCGTGATTAGAATATATAGTATAAAGGCTAGCTTAAATTATTTGTTATGATTGATTGAATTTTATTATAAAATCTTATTAATTGATAAGATTAATCTTTTCTACACCGATTATATTGTTTGCTTTAAAACAGATACGATATTGTAATAAGGTCGTATATGGCTATGGCTGTGCTAAATGTAACATTGTGAGAACACAAAATCTACCAATGTAATCACTTATTAATAATGCTCTATGCAAAAGTGTTAGATTAGTCATTTAAGCAAAAGTATTCCAAATATTTGATCTTTTGCACAGTAAACAACATATTTGCCAAACGAATAATAAAAAAAATCTTATGATTTTGGTTAGTGAAACGTTGCGCTATCAAAAAGTTTAAACAAGAAAAACAGACAATATTAGATACTCGGATATAAAAATATATATTGGTAAAATACTGTATTAGGTTAAATTTTTTATCCATGTCCGGTATATATCTGAGACATTTATATGCCTAATGTAGCAATAAAGAATTACAGAATTTTCTGTAATACAGTCAAACTCTCGTAAATCGCTTTTGGAATACCAAAAAAGTGTAATTATCGAGAAATGCAACAATTATAGAGGTCAAATTTATTATATTTAATAAGAATTCACTTTTTTAAAAAAAAAGCATATAAAGCAAATGTGATTATATAGGAAGAAAGTAACTATAGAGAGGTTTGACTGTATGAATAAAAATCCTGAATGCCAAAAGTCATAAACCGAAATACTGCAATGCTTACTTATCATAATACAGTACTATACTATAATGCATGTTACTGTAATATTTGCATCATGTTTATGTGCATCCATAGCGCTAGGGCTCTCGGTTTTCGGCATGAGGGTCCAAGGCATGCCATGCCTATAACATGTCATTAGTAATAATATAGAAAAAAAATTTTAATCAATTAAATTAATACAAATTAACCACGTAATTATGGTGTCATGGCATGCATGTGCCATGAAATTTAGAACTTGGCATGCATGCAGAATTTTTTTATCGTGCCAAGCACCCTAATTAGTGCTGTTGATACGATGAATAAAAGTAAGCAAATTAGTTCGAATGTATTAATATAATCAAATTGCTTGGTTAGAAAAAAAATACGGTATTTTGATTAGATCTACACATACAAAGTTTGGAGTTTAGTCTTCATTAGTGAGAAACTAACTTGACGAAGCAAAGCAAGAAAAAGTAACTAACTAAATATTATATTAGATAATCATTGATTAAACCGTGATTTGAGATTTCAATTTAACTTTCTAAAACCTACTTATACAGTACTTTTTTTATTATTAATTCTACCCTAACTAAAAAAATGCCAAAAAAATTCTCCCCAAATATCTATACTTTCGATGGCCTATCTATTTTCACTACAGTATACAAAATTTCATTTAATTTTACTAAAATTAAAAACTACATATTAGCGGGTTTATGGAATTTTGATTAATTGAAAAACTTTGGTCAAAATTGCAGATCATTTGACCAGCTTTAAAATAATTTAAAACCAAATGATCTGCGATTTTGACCAAAGCTACGGCTCATGGGTTTTTCTATTTAGCCGATATGAATAATATAAAATGAATATTTATAGATATTTGATGAGCAATGACAAAGATCAATGTAGAAAGTTGGTAAATTGATTACAAATCAGTTGCCTTATTGAAGCCAATAACTACGGTTGATGCAAGTTTATAGTGTAATAGTAATAGTCAAATTAATTTTGATTGTCTAAAAGCGACGATCAAAAAATTAGGCCGGAATTACTCGTAATTTTACTAATGAAATCAGCCGACCATTAAGTGAAAATTATTCCTGGGCCAATTTACCATAATGCGGGCTTATTTTTTTTAAGAATTTATTTTTGTAATGAAAAATTAAAAATTAATTCCGGCCGGAAATTAGTAAACAATTTTGTAATGTGGCCAAAATTTTGAAGATCCTCGGCCGTTAGCCAATCAAAATCAAAGATCTGCCGGTCCGCGGCAGCTATGGTTAATGAGCTCATACAGAGATTTTTTACAGGGGATCCCCAAATTTCCGGGTCGTAATGGCCGGAATGCGTTGGGTTATGGTTAGCGTTAGGGTTAGCAGGAGCTATAGTAAAATTATCAGCTGGGCATTTTTTGTTTAATGAACGACTATTGTTTCAATGGTAAAATTCTTAGTGATCTTGGGCAAAATCGATCAATTCTGGCCCATCCGACCATGTTTCCGATGCACCTGACCCGGAATTTTGTGGATCTCCCTCAGGGACCCGTAAAATTTTAGTTTTAAAAATTAAAATTTTTTTCTGATAGCAATAAAAAATTTAGGCAAATTTTAGCTTAAATTTAGTAAATTTTAGATAAATTTAGGCAAATTTTAGCTTAAATTTAGTAAATTTTAGATAAATTTTGATAAAATTTAATAAATTTTAGATAAATTTTGATTAAATTTAGAAAAGTTTTATGATTTATTCTTTTATTTTGTTAAAATAATAATTTAGTATTTAAATTTTGCCGATTGTTATTAAATATAAAATTAGGAACTAAGTCACGTAATTTTATGTCTCTAGATCACGACATCAATATCCAATACAAACTAATCATATACTGTACGCCTTAGAAGTTAAATAAGTTAAGTTTGTATAAATTTTTTATTAAAAATAAAATACGTATCACTAGGGATAAGCAAATCAAATATTTTTTGAATCTACTGCGGCCTACATTATAGTTTACTGCTAATGCAGGCCAGAGTTGCGAAATTCAGAAATATTCCGAAATTCCGAAATGTTCCACCTGCGCAGCATCCCATTCCTATGTACCACAAACTATAATATAAGAAGGAAATTTTTAGAAAATTTTAGTTAAAATTGATAATTTTAGATATAAATTCCTTAGAATTTAAAATTTTAGAAAATTTGAGTTGATACTTGAAATTTTAGATTTTTTGTGAAAATTTTAGATCTAAAATTTTACGGATCCCTGATCTCCCTGTATGAGTTCATACAGAGGATCCCAAAAATTATGGGTCGGAATACGTCGAAATACGTCGGGGGAATGTTCGGCCATGAAAATCCTTTTAAAATTTAGTTTTTTTTAAAACTTTAAGCAAATTTTTCTCGATGAATACTTAACTAATTTCAGTAAATTTTTTTTTATTTAATTCTATAAGTCAATATAATTAAATAAAAATTTTTATCGAATTTAGTTAAATAGTTTTTGAGAAATCTTCGGTTAAAGGATTAAAAATCAAAAAAAATCAACCGTAGTAAAATTTCTTTTTTTTCGACTTTAGCAAAGATTTCTCAACGATTATCAAACCAAATTTGATGAAAAACCTTTTATTTTAATTCTACTTGTTTAAAGAATCAAAATAAAAATAAATTTATCGAATTTTGTTATGTAGTCACTGAGAAATATTTATTTATTGTTTATAAAAAAATTTGCCGCAGCCTCCTTTTTATAGGCACTAAAACTTCAAGCAAATTTTCTTAATGAATATCAAACCAAACTCGATCAATTTTTTTATTTTAATTATAAAGGATTGCAAAATTAAAATAAAATAAAATAAAATCTATAGAGTTTGATTAGATATTCATCGAAAACTTTGCTTAAAGTTTTAGAACCTATAAAAAAAGAAACTGCGGCATAATTTTTTTTAAACTTTAAATAAATATTTCTCAGTGACTACATAACCAATTCGATAACTTTTTTTTATTTCGATTCTACAAACACAGAATTAAATATATATATATATATATTCATCGAAATTAATCAAGTTTTTACCGAGAAATCTTGGTTTAAAATTAAAAAGAAATTTATTTTTATTCTTTTTTCTTGGTTCAAATTTTTTTTTAAGCTTTAAACTAAAATTTCTCGATGAAGAATTATCAAGTCTTGTTTGTAGAATCGAAATAAAAAAAAAAAGGGACACTTGAAGAACAGTTAACCCAGTGATCGACGATCACATGATAAACATATAATGACGTCATTTGTTTAGCCTAAATATACCACTAAACTAACCCGAACACTTGTCATGTGACGTTGTGATGATCGCTGGGTTAACTCTTCTTCAATCTACCCAAATTTTTTTTAAACAATAAATAAATATTTCTCTGTAACTACATAACCAAGTTTGATGTTTTTTTTGTATTTTGATTTTACAAATACGTAGAACTAAAATAAAAAATTTTGGTTAGATTATTATTGAGAAATCTTCGCTAAAGTTAAAAAAAAGAATTTTACTACGGTTTTTTGATTATTTCAAGGATTAACAATTAACTTTTTTTTAAACTTTATTGCAGTTTGCAAAAAAATGTGAAATTGCAGATCAAAAAAAAAAAAGAAATCGATGATTTCTGATTTCTGATTACTTCTGATGACGGACGTATGTATTATACAATATAAAGTCTTATATATATTTATTTAGCATACATTTTTTTTAAAAAAAGCATTTCTAATGACTAAAATTATTATCCCGGAACATGCTTTGG